CACACACACACACACACACACACACACACACACACACACACACACACCTCAGCCTCCCATTTGTCCCACCAATGTCTGGTAAGTGCAGCCTCTCTGAGCGATCAGCACACAGAAGCTGCTGATAGTGTCTGAGCAGAGTTCCAGTGAGCCTCTGATAAGCTCGGCTCTCTGTGAGTCTCCTTAGTGTTGTCACCAGCTGCCTCCTGCCAGCCGGAGGTGAGAGAGGCCTCAGCAAAACACTACTGAATTCAACCCGGCTCAGAGGACACCCAGAACGGCGCTCTGCACTATTTCTCACAAAATCACAGACAGAAAGTGGCTGCTGTTGAAATCTGCTGCACAGAACGGAGGAACCGATACGATACGTGGACCACTTTTTAGATATAAACTCCTCCTCACTCGCAACAAATGCAATGTTTGCTGAGAGCAGCAGCGGATCTTTACTGGAAGTAAAAACAAATAACGAACACAGCAACATGTTGCAACACATAAGTAACACGGTCGAGTGTGTGTGTGTGTGTGTGTGTCGGGTAAGCTCACACTCAAGACGGTGATTCACTTTAAAATTCTGTCAAATTGGACACAAAATAAGTTTAAAGTAAAAGTAAAATGTGAATCAGTGAGTCGGTGTTTTGATAATGTATATCTTACAGCAGATTACAGACCTACAGCTTCAACAAGCAGTTTGAAATGTAAGTCCTGTTATCACATCTTCTCTGTTTCACTGTACCAATCAGCCTTTAGTACTTTACACCATCATCACTGTCAGCAAAGTATCCGGACTAAAGCGTAGTTCATGGTCGCAGTAGTGAAGCCGTGTGCGATCAGAGCATATCCCAATACTCACTTTCAGCATTTATTTTAAATTATGCAGTTGGTGGACTTTGGCTCAGACGTGGGGGTGAAGTTACACTTTTACGTTTTTATACCGTATTTGTACCCGCACTGGTTAGCATGGTTGTGAGGATGGTGTCAGTCTATGTGAAGTATTGTACAGACATCATAATGCCTGCTGATTTTTACTAGAACCGCCACCACAAGGTTCACATTTGAGGTTTTTACTGAAATATCTCTGGTTCACACATTTCCGTCTCCCTCAGGATGAATTGTTAGATCTGGTGATCGTTGAACATCTCATCGAGCCTCGTCGTTAGGTCAAAGTCTTTATTCGTTGATTTGAATTTAATGACGGGTTTATGGTTCACCAAATACACCAAAACTAAAATTCCAATAAGCCCCAGCTGTGTTTTTTGTGTTTAATTAGCAAATGTAAGTGTGTTAACACGCTGAACATCAGCATGTTAGCGTCATCATTGTGAGCATAATATCATCTAGATACAGACTCTTTGGTGCTTACCCCAGGTCAGTGAGCGGCGGCTTGTCTCGACCTCGCCTGTAGCACAGGAAGATCTGGGGCGCCATGAGGCCGCCGTTGTTAAGATCGGCCGAGTGGCCGGTCGGCGTTTCCTCCACGCAGGTGAACCCCGACGGTGCCTCCTCGCCCATCGAGCGGATCACCACCGCCACGTCGGTGATGGGCGCCCTGGGCTTGGCCGTCTTGTGGCAGACGTCGTCAAAGTGGATCTCCTGGTCCAGCGGCTTGGACGGATCCGTCAGACCGGCCACCACGAAGTAGTCGGCTACACGAGGGCCTTTGTCCTCCATCATCTCCCATCACCGCCGGCTGCCTGCACGGTTACAGAGGGAAGGAGGAGGAGAGACAAAGAGAGGGAGTAAGAGAGGGAGAAGAGATTGATTTTCGTTGTGGTTCAGATGGTTCTTGCGGCCTTGCTAAGGCAGTAAAATAAAATCTGACGGTCATAAATCTTACTGAGGAGAGGCCGGTAGAAGGGCAAATGAAAAGAGACGGTACAACATGAGGAGGAGAGGGCAGACATTTTCAGTTTAGGCAGAAGGAAAGCTGACGGTCTTTGACCGGATTGACTTTAAGTTGATCAGCTAGATTTCTCGTTTCTAAGATGCATCACGTCTGTGGAAGATTCTGTTGCATCGAGAGTGGTTGTTGATTTAGGTTGTTGACGGGTGAATTAAAATTGCTAGGTGAACTAAAGGTTCAGCGTCTTGGCTTGAGGACTCGTCTCTCGGGAAACAGGTCTTTCTGAATAGGACAGAAGATTTGTTTTGAGCCTTTGTCCAGTTCTAAGCACTGAGACAGTTAAAGCTCGGCCGGCTACACAGACCTGAGTGTGCATTTTAAAAAGGGAGCATTGAGGTGTTTCTTCACACTTAACATTCTGCCTCAATTGCAGGTCGGTCCCACATAAAATCCTGCTGATTAGAAGCCTTGTTAAACCATGGAGCCTATTACAGGAGGGCTGACTGCACAACACCAGCTACACCCTCTGAAGAAGCTGAAAAGGTACAAGCTGACAAAAGTCCATTTTCTTCTGAACCTGAGCACAGAAAACCCCTCTATTGCAGGTATCGTTTGACTGGAGAAGTTTTGGATACTACTTGGCACTGGATTATTTAAATCCATACCTTAAAAAGGTATCAAGTACCGATACTGAGCCCTAAAGAGGCCAAGCCATCGGCTGAAGGGACACTGCACTAGCGCCACAGAAATAATAAATAACACTTGTGAACTGCTTCAGGCAGTGTGTTCACTTTCATACAGATCAAAGGAATACTGATTATTTCTCTCAAAGAACACAAAGACCAAAAAAATAAATCTGTGACCCTGAAGGATGCACGAGTATAAGTGACAACTCAAATGAAAACTGATGAAAAGTGAAAGAAACACTGTGAGCCAGTTTGGTTTAACCCTGGACTTTCTTTAGGTGGCAGCCTCTGGGTGTGGAGGTGTAAAGTCTTAGTCTGCCTCAGTGGCAAGATTCATCACTCAATCTCTTGACACTCGAGCCTCCGGGACATGAGTCTGTCTCTGTGGGTTTAAAATGAAACTTTACCCCCGACCAGAACTCTGAGCCATGCACAAACACAAGAACACATTGGGGTTCGTGACAGCTGAGATCAGGAGGAGTGAGGAATGTTTACTTGCCCAGCAAGAACGCAGATCGAATATATAAGAAACACGATTCAAACATGTCTTCAGGGCTTTCGTACCAAACAGAGTTTTGCACCGATGGCTGTTTTGTTTCTTTAAAAACATTCCCATGTTGGTGACACAGTGAGCGATAATTTACTCACACTGACAGCAGTTTCATTGCAACCAGATTTAAATTTAATGTCGAGTGATTCGACTGGACGGGGTCTGTGATTCCAACCATGTGCAGTAAGAGGGTGTGTGATGAGAGGCTTAATAAGCAGGGTGTGGTAGCTAGTCCAAATGGAAAGAGGTAATGTGAAACAGCTGCCAGTCTGAGTGATGCTATGCTAGCTGTTAGCACCACTGATAAGCTCCTCCTTTAATTCTCCTCACCATCAGAGACTATTGTAAGTCACGAGTCAGTTCTCTCTCCTGTTGGAACAGAACAGAGAAAAATCATTTCTTCTATAGTTAGCAGATTTTTTGGACACTAACTAAAACTGGGAGTTTATTGGTGAAAAAATGATTATTGCAGGATCAATGAAGCAAACTTGTATTCAAATCACAGACTGTCTATAAGAAGTGGATGTAGTCATGGTGACGTCACCCATTGGTTTGTGGACTGATGTTTTGAAGCTTCGAGTTCGGCAATTTCACCGTCGCCATCTTGGATTACGGCAAACACAATGTCGGGGTTTTTTTTGCAACCAGTGAACAGGAAGTGACCATATCCGGACTGAGGAGGAGTGACGTAGAGACACCGTATACGTCTCTGGTGAGACTTCTATACAACCAGAGACCTGTCAATCACTGTGCATCCCCTGCTTTATGGTCTGTTTGACTCTAAATGGACCATAAT